AGACAGAGAGAGACAGAGAGAGAGAGAGAGACAGAGAGAGAGAGAGAGACAGAGACAGAGAGAGAGAGAGAGAGAGACAGAGAGAGAGAGAGAGAGACAGAGAGAGAGAGAGACAGAGAGAGAGACAGAGAGAGAGAGAGAGAGAGAGAGAGAGAGAGGGGTGTACCAAGGCAGGACCATGTGAGTCGACATGACGGCAGGAGCTGAGCTGACCTTTTTGACACCAACCTGAACCTTTTAATAACTCAGGCCCTACAAAACCTTATTCCGTAATTTAAACATAGCTGGTCCAGGAGCTCTGACATTATGTGAAAATGTTCTTGCTTCAGTAAACAGACGTTCAGATGTTTTCTGAACATTATATCTTTGCATGGGATCAAATTCAATCTCGAATAATGTGTTTCTACTCCTTTTTCTCAACCCGATTTCAGGTGGCTGGTTGGGTTAATTTTCTCTGCAGACGGCTCTTGTTTGAACTCTGGATCTGTTGGAGTCATTTTCTACCAGCTGTACTCTTCCGTGTTGGGGACTTTCCTTCGGGACTCCCACGCGCTTTCCTCCACTGGATGAACACAGGAGCCACGTCCTCCTGGTCTGAGATGTTTTTCCATCTCACCAAAACATGGACTCATTGTCAGGAAATAAATCGTCACGGAGGTGGAAAATGCACAAGACATAATAGTGAAACCTAAAGACTAATTTAAGACCAGCACCTTTGGAGACTCAATTGATTCCAAGCAAATATAAAGATCTGAAGCAGAAATTTTCGGGAAACACTCAGAACATGTGGACGCTGAAACAAGAAGTTTTCTATAAAAAGGTGAATATTTGTTTGGTAAACGGTTTGTGATGTTAAAGTTTGTTTTTTGTTTCACGTTTTTCTCATCTGATATAACTGCAACTCCTATTTTAACTCCAGTACCTTTCGTAGAGGCAGAAGAAGGTAACTATTCTGTAAAAAGTCAAATTAAAGACAGGAATTAGTGGGACTTGCCTTGTCAGGGCTCTCTCCTCTTTCAAACATCATCTTGAGGTTGGTAATGGGAACCCTGGGCTTCTCCGTGTCAGCCACCTCAGCTGCTGCTGCTCCCTCCTGCCCCTCTGAATCTCTATTCATCACCTCTGAACTGACCCTTCTGGGCTTCTGGGGTAAAGAGGGAGGATGAGGAAGGTGACCTGCATCCCTGGTTTTAACAGGTTATTCTGAACAATAAGACATGACTGCATTCGTGTACACCGAGAGAAAAGGAAAAACAAATGAACATTTATTTCTGTTCAACCTCAGAAGTCTTAAGATCAACTTAACCATAGACTAGCTGACCTTATCACCTCATTTCATATCCACTAAATCTGTCAGACAAATGTTTAATTTAAAACCAACTTTAGTTGCACATGAATTCAAACTGAGCACTCTCACAAATTAGTGTCTGTAGGTCTTAGAGAGAAGGATCCAGGCTGCTGTGTCAGACTATAAATGTGGTTAATGTTGGACTTCTACAACCTCAGTCTAAAACTGCCCCAACAGAACAAAACTAGTTTCAACAGCCTCACACGGCAGAGTGGTTGCATCTCTCACCCACACACACACACACACGCACACACGAATATATAACCGAAACAGGAACCACAAGCTACACCACAAAAGACGAAAGCTTAAGTTGTTCGGCCTGCACATCTGCTGGAATTAAACAAATAAAACACAAAGTTTTTATGAGCAAAGAGTTAAAAACCTGAGACGACCCAGCTGTCCGGCTATCGCGCGTGCTCGCGCAAGTCTCTGTGCGCATCTGCTGGCCGCCTGAAAATGCTACAAGCTGTCCCAGATGTGAAAGCCTTGAGAAATGATCAGAATGAAGAAGCATGAAGTAACTCGCCCACCCCCTACAACAGAGGGGAGGAAACCGGGAGAGAAGGGGGCGAAGGTGGGGGTGGGAGGAAAAGAAAATCAGAAACAGACATTCAGTGTGGAGAAGAAGAAAAATAAGTCCAGGAAATGAGAGAAAGGTAAAGAGAGCATGAGGAGAGAGGGGGATGAAAGCTGCTTAAGAACTCCAGAAGGAGAGCACAAACTCAGTCTGGATAAATGATAATTCCCCTAAAAGCTTCTTCGACAGATATTTATATACAGCTGATGTTTATGTTGAGATTAGAGTTAAACCCAAACCTTTCCTCTAACCTGCCACAGAGAAGAACAAGAGCATACGTGATCACCATCCAACTCATTTTAGGCTATTCTCTAAACAGCCTCTGTTCAGTGAAAAAGCGTTTACGTCTGAAGAACCAAGAAGTACCGGAGTTAAGCCAAGCCAAGTTCTGATCGGTATGTGAAACGGTCGGTTTACAAAACTTTACCTGGAATTCTTTATAGCCACCAGCAAATGAGTGCTGAAACTCTGATACACCCAGCAGGGATTTACTCACATTTTGGTTTCAATGACCATGCTATGCAAAACTGATGACACATGTACTAGTGCTTCAACTCAAAGTACTCTACAGCAGG